AGCCTAGCAGGATGAGAGTACTAAGCTGGAAGTGGGATCAGGATGGCTTGCATGGAAAGCAGGAGCCACCCAAACAAAGGAAAGTCATTTTTTTCTTTTTTTTTGAGACGGAGTCTTGCTCTGTTGCCCAGGCTGGAATGCAGTGGTATGGTCTCAGCTCACTGCAACCTCCGCCTCCCGGGTTCAAGCGATTTTCCTGCCTCAGCCTCCCGAGTAGCTGGGAATAGAGGCACGTGCCACCACACCTGGCTGGTTCTTTTTTGTATTTTTAGTAGAGACGGGGGTTTCACCGTGTTAGCCAGGATGGTCCCAATCTCCTGACCTCGTGATGCGCCCGCCTCGGCCTCCCAAAGTGCTGGGATTAAAGGCGTGAGCCACCATGCCCGGCCCTATTATTTTTTTTTTTTTTTACTAATGAAAACCTGGTAAGGTAAAGGTCCCCATCTCAAGTATCTCACATCTAGCCAAGGAGGCAATGAAAAGAGGAACTGAATGACAATACAGACAAAAATATAGGGCATTTCCTGATCCAAGCAACCCATGGCACAGACTAAGTTCAGAGACAAACAAAAAGCTACAGGAAAAAATAGCTAAACTTTCATACAAAATAGCTGATTTGGATCTCAAATACAACCAGCAGCAGGCACCCAACAAAGCCTTGTGCTATTCTTCCTCTCTCCCATTCCCTCTGCCAGATACCGTATTTTGGAAGATTCTATCAAACAATTAATTAAATGACAAAGGTGTACTCCTATTTTAGGTAAAGACACAAACAAGGATCAGTATGAGAGAAGGTACTGACTATGTAATTTGAAAATAAAAGGCATTAAGATATTTTAAGTATTTCATTTTATTCTGAATAAACGTAAGGTTTCTCTAAGACATTTTTGTTCTGTTTTGAGACGAAGTCTTACTCTGTCGCACAGGCTGTAGTGTAGCAGCGCAATCTCCGGTCACTGCAAGCTCCGCCTGCTGTGTTGAAGTGATTCTCCTGCCTCGGCCTCCTGAGTAGCTGGGATGACAGGCGTGCGCCACCACACCTAGCTAAATTTTGTATTTTTAGTAGAGACAGGGTTTCACCATGTTACTCAAGCTGGTCTTGAAATCCTTTTAGTGATAGAAATACCACATCATCTCTTCCGTGCCACTGGAGGTGTGACAGCCTCAGGATGGAGCCCAGAAGAGCCCACTATACATGTCAGTGACTCAGGTAAATGGAACACCACCCATTATAAACACAGCACCCAAAAGGAGTACAGACGCACCTTTAATTTTTTTTTTTTAAGAGACAAGGTCTCACTCTGTCACCCAAGCTGGAGTGTAGTGGCACAATCAGAGCTCACTGCAGCCTCTAACTCCTAGTCTTAAGCAATCCTCCCACCCCAGCCTCCCAAGCAGCTGGGGCAACAGGTGTACACAGTTAGTTTTTTAAATTTTTATTCTGCAGAGATGAAGTCTCGCTATGTTGTCCAGGCTGGTCTCAAACTCATGTCCTTGAACAATCCTCCCACTCACGCCTCCCAAAGAAGCCTCCCAAAGTGCCGGGATTACACGTGTGAACCACTGTGCCCCACCCCACATACACTTTACGACCATATCATCAATATAGAGAATGAGGGATTCAGACGCAATAAATATGAAAACTTTGTCCTTCAGCATTCAATTCCAATGAGCACAAACTAACTACTCTGACCAAAAATGGGTGACTAACTCTTCTAACTCTATTTTACCAGCTCCTACAAAATAAGAAATTATTGATAGTCACAAAAGTTTACAATCTGTTTAAAAATACCTAGTTTATGATCACTTATTTAAATTTTATAAATCCCAGTCACAAAAAAGAACTGATCCCTTTACTTTACAAGCCAAAAATGCCAAATTATTTTATCATTTAAAAAAAAAGAAAAGACTGAAGGGCAAAGTGGCTCACATCTGTAATCCGAGCACTTTGGGAGGCCAAGGTAGGCAGACTGCTTGAGTCCATGAGTTCAAGACCAGCCTAAGCAACAAGCAAAATACAAAAATTAGCTGGTGCACACCTGCAGTACCAGCTATTCGGGAGGCTAAGGTGGGGAAATTGCTTGAGCCTGGAAGATAGAGGCTGCACTGAGCCAAGATCACACCACTGAACTACAGCCTGGGTAATAACGGTGAGACTTTGTCTCCAAAAAAAAAGACTAAGAAATCAAATAGACACAAGATAAAGTAGAAGAACATTAGTTCATACTCTAGAACTTTCCAAAAACTCTCATTAACAAAAAGAAAGCAGTTTTAAAATGAACTACATTCCTTTTTTTTCAGACATGGTCTCACCTTATGTCACCCAGTGGTGTGACTGCCTTGAGACCTCCTGGGCTCAAGGAATCCTCTGCCTTATCCTCCCGAGTAACTGGGACTATAGGTGCACACCAACATGCACAGCTAACTTTTTTAGTTTTTCTTGTGTAGAGATGGTTTTGCTATGTGCATCAGGCTGGTTTTGAACTCCTGGCCTCAAGCAATCCTCCCACCTCAGCCTCAAGAGGTGCTGGGATAACAGGTATGAGCCACAGCGCCCAGCCTGCATGCCTCTCTTACTGGGAAAGACCAATAATATCTCATTCTACTTCTCTTTTACTTACTACTGTTCAGCAAGTGCCTTTTAATTAGCTACCTTACAAATGCCATGCAAATTACTTTTGCCCCTAATGATGGCTAATGAAAGAAAAACTATGTTATAGAGTGAATTTCCAAAAAGTGATGACTCCTGGAAGAATGACCAATCTTACGCTGTCATCATCCTCATGAGTGGCAGGTGCAGTCAGGCTCAGGTATCCCCCACAACCCGAAATCGCTGAGGGCTCCTCCAACCTTTGGCTCACAGAGATACTTAAGCACTTGAACAACTTAAAATCTCACTGCCAAGTCTGGTACCAATGTGAGAAGTAATTCTATAGTCACTTTAAATAAATCATTCAGATAGCAGCTAAGAACAATGTGTTACCTAAACCAGTAACATGATACACATAAAAGCAGACTTAGAACAATTACCATCATCTCGATTAATCTTATGATTGAAATGTTTAATCATTCATTTCACTTGTAATCATTATCTTTTATCACTGACCAAACATGCAGTTTTAATGCCCTCCGTCTATTATTTATATTGGACATTTTAGGGTTACACTCTAAAGTTACATTATACATTTCATTGGAATTTTAAATAAGCCCTTAAATTTTAAAAACCTAATCACTATACTCACATCTGCCCTATTTGCATAAAGAAACACTAGAAGGATTCATACAAAATTAATACAAGCAGTTACTTATGTGGTGGGACACAAGGGTGACAACGGAGGAATGGAGTGAGCCTTCTCAATGGACACCTTTCTATTCTGTTCAGTATTTTGAGCCATCTAAGTACAATACCTATTCAAAGCAAACTTATTTCTACAGAAGCTTCCTGAAAATTTCATCACCTACTACACAAATGAACTATCCTGTCAGAATTCTGTTTTCAGTTTACATAAAAAGAGACATAAGACCAATACAGTTGATGTTATTTTTAACCCCATATATGAGTATATTGGGTAACATGTACTCTGAACTCACAGATTCTTGTTTTAAAAAATAAGACTTTGGTTTTTCTTTTTTTTTTTTAATCTTAAGGATTCAGGCTTTGGAATACGAGGTGCACCTCCCCTCCTGATAATTCATTTCTAAGACTTTCAACACATATTTTGGCCCTGTTGCCTAAACCAATACTAAGTCCTGAATAGTATTTTTAATGTGCTAAACCAATTGAGTTAATCCACAGTCACAACTACGGCTCTCCTAGTACTTATCCACTCAAGAGAGAAGCAGGAATGGAGGAGCGCACAAACCAGAGTGAAAAACAAAAGAGGGAAGAAAGAGACTGACTGGCTTCCCTCTTCCTCCGCATTCTGAACAGGTTAGAAAGACTTTCACCTTCTCCCATAGGTCTGTCTGCCTTCATCTAAACCAAGATAGCAACTTCCTGTTCCCTGGTCCATAGCAGCATTTACATACCCTTTCCTGAACTATTTTCCACAGCACACCTAGCTTTTCAATGACATAATTTGTGTTACTATTTTAAATGTCTTAAAACCACAGTTACCCACAGGGAACTAACTCGTCTGCCTGTGCTTCCAAAACTCCAGCCCACAGCCACCTTGACGTTTGATAGTCATGCCCCACACCCGAGGATGATCAAGGAAAAGTGTACATTTGGCCGGGCGTGGTGGCTCACACCTGTAATCACAGTACTTTGGGAGGCCGAGGCAGGCAGATCACGAGGTCAGGAGACCGAGACCATCCTGGCTAAGATGGTGAAACCCTGTCTACCAAAAATACAAAAAATTAGCTGGGCGTGGTGGTGGGCACCTGCAATCCCAGCTACTAAGGAGGCTGAGGCAGGAGAATCGCTTAAACCAGGGAGGCAGAGGATGCAGTGAGCCGAGATCGCACCAAAGCACCCCAGCCTGGGCGACAGAGCAAGACTGGTCTCAAAAAAAAAAAAGAAAAGAAAAATATTTTAAGATTTTTAAGAATAATGTGCAAAAATAACAGATCCCACATCAATCACAGATATCTGGAATTCCACACCACTCCATCTTTATATTAGTTAATAAAATCTAATCTTTTATTTATGTATTTTTTTGAGACAGCGTCTCGCTCTGTCACCCAGGCTAGAGTGCAGTGGCGCAATCTCGGCTCACTGCAACCTCTGCCTCCCAGGTTCAAAAGGGTCTCCTGCCTTAGCCTCCCGCACAGCTGGGATTATAGGCACCGTCCCCCGACCACGCCCAGCTAATTTTTGTATTTTAGTAGAGACAGGGTTTCACTATGTTGGCTGGGCTGGTCTCAAACTCCTGAACTCAGATGATATGCCCACCTCAGCCTCCTAAAGTGCTGGGATTACAGGTGTGAGCTACCACGCCTAATCTAACCCATAAATCAGAATTAAATTCATAAAAAACATGACATTGAAATATAAATACCTTCACAAATGAAACTTGAGGGTGTTCTTTAGCTAACTCTGCCATAACTTCGTTCATCTGTGCACACTGTGGAGCCCATGGTGCCCAGAAATGGACCACAAGGAGGGATCTGTAAATCAATTAAATGCATTGATTTAAAATTATAACAATTTTGGAAATAAATACTGATATAGATTAAATTACCAAAAAAAGAAAAAAAAACTTTAAAAGAACTGCCTGAAGTTTTTCATATTGCTAGAATTTTGTTGTATACAACACTGGAATGTAAAAACACTCTGCAAGGTCTTGAGACTTTCAGATAAATTTTCAAGTCAATGGCATTTCGAGTCAAGCCCATTTGAAGTAGATCTGAATATTCATCCACATCAATTAAAAGTCATGTAAATCACTGTTGTTGGGAGTGTAAATCAGTTCAACCATTGTGGAAGACAGGATCTAGAACCAGAAATACCATCTGACCCAGCAATCCCATTACTGGGTATATACCCTAAAGATTATAAATCATTCTACTATAAAGACACATGCACACATGTTTATTGCAGCACTATTTACAATATCAAAGACTTGGAACCAACCCAAATGCCCATCAACGATAGACTGGATAAAGAAAATGTGGCACATATATACTATTGAATACTATGCAGTCATAAAAAAGAACGAGTTCATGTCCTTTGCAGGGACATGGATGAAGCTGGAAGCCACCATTCTCAGCAAACTAACACAGGAACAGAAAAACAAACGCTGCATGTTCACACTCATAAGTGAGAGGTGAACAATGAGACCATATGGATACAGGGAGGGGAATATCACACACCGGGGCCTGTCAGGGGGTAGGGGCCAAGGGGAGGGAAAGCATTAGGACAAATACCTAATGTATACAGGGTTTAAAACCTAGATGATGGGTTGACAGGTGCAGCAAACCACCATGGAACATGTATACCTATGTAAGAAACCTGCACATTCTGCACATGTATCCCAGAACTTAAAGTAAACAACAACAAAAATAAAAGCCAGGTAAATCAACTATATTTTCAGACCCCTGGGCAAAGTGGAAACTGAATTTCTGTATTAATGGCACAATGTTTGTGAAAAATGGTTGTAGACACATTATTACTAGTAATATCATTATTTACTTTTTGAATGTGGTATAGTGATGAAGAGACATAACCGTGACCACAGAAACAACAGTAAGTGTTGAAAATGAAGGCATGCCAGTGGAAAACGAGGAAAAGAACAGAACTGCTTTTCACAAAGACATTCTTTTATACTTTTTATTATGCTACAAAAGATTTTTCCAGGCCTGGCACAGTAGCTCACACCTGTAATCCCAGCACTTTGGGAGGCCGAGGCAGGCAGATCACCTGAGGTCAGCAGTTCAAGACTAGCCTGGCTAACATGGTGAAACCCCATCTCTACTAAAAACACAAAAAATTAGCCAGGTGTGTTGATGCATGCCTGTAATCCCAGCTACTCAGAAGGCTGAGGCAGAAGAACTGTTTGAACCCGGAAGGCAAGAGGTTGCCGTGAGCTGAGATCACACCACTGCACTGCAGCCTGGGCAGCAGAGCAAGACTCTGTCTCAAAAAAAAAAAAAAAAAAAAAAAAAAAAAGAAGATTTTTATAGGCCAGGCAAGGTGGCTCATGCCTGCAATCAGCATTTTGGGGGCTAAGGTGGAAAGATCACTTGAGCCCAGGGGGTCCAGGCTGCAATGAGCTATGATCGTACCACTACACTCCAGTGTGGGCAACAGAGTAAGACCCATTAAAAAAATAATAATAAATTTCTAAACATTTATAGTATGAACACACAGAATAGATTAATAACTCAGTATCTACTTTAGTTAGCTTTCATACAAAATTATCTTGGCAAAGATATCCATGGTCATATCCAACTGAAAAATCCTTCAGTTTTATGGAATTCTGTTCAAATATAATACCACCTCCCAAAAAAAACTGAAAAATCACGAACAGAAATATGTTCCATGGCAAAAAGAAACAAGAACAACTAACCTATGGGTAAAGAAAGGAATAACAAACTGTAAAAACCGATCAAATAACACCAGTGAGAAGAGAATAAGCCTACAATAAAGTGTCAGGAAAGCAGAAGCAAAGAGCAGCATGAGGATTTCGAAGGTGGAAAGGACAGGATTTGGTGACAGATGAGGCAGTCTATAGCTGGCTCCAAGTTCTGGCTTAGAGACTGACAGCTAGTGGCGAAACTATGCCTCAAATCATAGTGCAGAAGCTGCCAACCTGAGGAAAGGAAGTTTAATGGGCTGGTAGTATGATGTCTAGACCTCAGGGAAGAAGTCTGCACTTGATATACAGATTTGGGAATCAAGAAAGGAACAGTGCCAGCACCAAACTGCAAAGGGATACAGAGGGACACAGAAGAGACTCGAGGTCAGCGCCTCAGGGGGCTTAGCAACATTCAGTTAGGACAGATGGGGGAGAAGGAACTCATGTAGTGAAGCAGAGAAGTGATCCTAGGCAGTACTGGAAGACTAAAGGGTCTCAAAGAAGTCAAGAGAAGAGTGTCAAGAGGGAGTGGCAATCATCCAATGCAGTGGGAAAGGGCAACTAACAGAGAGAGTAACTTCAACAGAATAGCAGAAGCACAGGTCAGACTGCAATCCACAGAGGACTGAAGTGAAGATGAGGAAGGAGAGATATACTCTAAGAGATGTGTACAGGCAGAGGGAAAGACAAAATCAAGGGCTGGGTTTTTTTAATACAAGAAAATCTTCATATGTTTACTTTACCAGGGGATAGTACAAATGGAGAGGGAAAGGCTGTAGACACAAGATAGCTGAGGATGCAAGGACTCAGAAGAGGCAGGAGAGGGGAAATCCAGAGCAGAGAAGAGCTCACCTTGCAGAAGAAGGAGGCAGTCTCCTCTGAGTCAGGAGCCAAGGAATTAAGAATGGGTAAGGCTACAAATAAATGGTAAGTGTTGGGATAGGTGGGAGTGGAAGGAGGGTTCGGGGAGATACTACCTGAAGTCCTGTTTTCTCTCAGGTGGGAAGCAAGGTCATTTGTCGAAACACAGGAAAACAGAGAGCAGAGACCACTGGTAAAACTGATGAAGGGAGAGTGTCCACAGGCACACAAAAAGAAAGCAGGAAGCTCCAAATAAAGACCCACCTAAGGCAGGGAAGGACACATTCTAGGAGCCCCCAATCACTGGCTGTTAATTTGCATCCAGCACAACTCAGCAACTTCAATGGTTGAGTAGGTGGGGCCTCAGGTCCAAGGCAAAGACTGTGCTGTTTCAATCAAGCACTGCTTCATTTTCCTCCTGTGCATTCAGCTAGATTACATTTTTCAGTCTTCCTTGCAGTTGTCTGGGGCCCTGGAACTGAATTCTGGCCCTAAAACTAGAACACAGGCCTGACCCCTCAAAACCCTCCCTCAGGAGCCTCTGCCCACCATAGCCTCCAGCAATGAAGAGGATCCAGGGAGGTTCCATTGCCTAAGGATGGTGAGAACAAAACAGAGGTTCAGAGGCCTCATGCAAGAATGCTCATGGCAGCCCTATACATAGTAACTCAAAACTGGAAATTAGCCAGATGCCCGCCAATGGGGGAAAGTGACAGACATTCATACAACGGAATGTAACCTAGCAGTAAAAAGGAACCAACTACAAACACAGGCAATGACATGGATGAAGCTCAAAAATATGTGGGCAAAAGATGCCAGAGACAAAGAACTGTATGATTCCACTCATACAAAGTCCAAGAAGCAGGGAAAACTCATCTACGGTGACAGTAAGAAATCAGTCGTTCGGGTAAAGGGGATAGAAAACTTCCTGGGTTCTACATGTTCCTGTGAATGGTGGTTATTGGTATATATACAACTGTGAAAATTCATCACATCTGACGATTAAGATCTGTGCATTTTGTTACTGTATACTTGTTACTGTAATACTTCAATTTCTTTATAAAGCTGGGATACTATTTTTCACCAAATTGACCAAAAAAAAAATTTTTTTTCTCTTTTTTTGAGACAGAGTCTTACTTTAATGCCTGGAGTGCAAGGCAAGTGTAGCCTCGACTTCCTGGACTCCAGGTGATCCTCCCACCTCCACCTCCCAGACTACAGCCATATTTTGTTCTTTGTAAAGTTGGGGTTTCGCCAATGCCCAGGCTGGCCTCAAACTCCTGGGCTCAAGCAATCAATCCACCTGCATTCACCTCTCAAAGTGCTGGGAGTACAGGCATGAGCCACCGTGCCCAGCCAACAAAAGGACTGTTTAAATCATAATATTCAACGATAAAAAGGACGACGAGAAGTACTTTCATGTCCTAATGGTAAAAATTAAATTGGGACCTTTCAGAAATTTCTTACACATGAGTATCAATCCTAACGAGTAACTAAGAGAAAAAGATTTTCTGTATGTGAATATTTTCCCACTATTTTACATTGCAAATCAGAAAAATCTGATGCTCAATAATAGTTTTTAAATGGTCATAAGAAAATATTATAAAGCTATTACAAATCAAATTTTCAGAGAACTTTCAATGCCACAGTAATACTAATATAACTATATTTTTCAAAAATTAAAGTAGGTTACCAAACTTTATAACAGTATGAGCCCAAATAAGTAAAAAAGAAAAAAAGAAAGTATGGTATAGAAACAGAATTCATTTCAGTTTCATTATTACTAACACAGCTTTGAAGAGTAATCTAACTTCCACATCTGTAAAATAGCAATAACCAATACTCTGGGATGTTGAGAAGATGAAACAAAAATACAAAACATTTGAAAACATTAAAACATTATATTGTTAGTTGAAATTATCCACAATATTCTCCTCTTCAATGCTTAACTTCCATTTCTCAATTAAGCACATAATGTCCAGTATTATAAGGACATACTATATCTGAAACAAATATAAACGTTACCCCCTTTTGGATTATATGTTACAGTATTCTTTCCATCTTAATGGATAGCCCCGTATGCCTGGTGCACTGTTGGAGAAAAACATCAGACAAAAATCACATTCAAATCCTGACTAATGTAATTTTAGACAATGTAATAAACGTCAGCTCTTCATCAGCAAATAGTTGTTTTTCAATTATTACAGTATTCTGCTACTATATTCATCTGCAGATAATACCAGCTACTGCTTATTAAACATATCATATACTAAACCTGCTTACTCTGCAAATGAGTATTAATAACTCCATTGTACAGACCAGTTGAGATTTCAGCAACTTATGTAAATATCTGATTCAATTACTTAAAAGAAAAAAATTTTAATTCATGTCAAATTTTAAAATTGGAGAAGCAATGATTTGGAAAGTAGATTTAAAATTATTACATCAACACAAGTACTAAAATTCAGGCACTTTTTGTTTGTTTTTTGAGACAGGGTCTCACTCTGTCACCCAGGCTGGAGTATAGTGGCAGGATCACAGCTTACCGCAGCCTGGAACTCCTGGACTCAAACAATCCTCCCACCTCAGCCTCCTGAGCAGCTGGGGACTACAGGTATGCATCACCATGCCTGGCTACTTTTTTTACTTTTTGTAGAGATGGGTTCTCACTATGTTGTCCAAGCTAGTCTCAAACTCCTGGCCTCAAGTCATCCTCCCAAAGTGCTGGGATTGCTGGTGTGAGCCACCAAAATATTCTTAAATGTCTCCATCTTCACCAAAAAAGCTGCAGGAATTTGCTCCTTCCCCAGATGCCACACATCGTTTCTCCTGTGTCCGTTTAAAATAGTCACTAAGGAAAGTGTACATTGTTTCCTGGCTCATTTCAAGTACAGACCGGTGGCAAGGATACATCCAAATGGTATTCACATTTAAACTTTTATCCATTTTGGCCGGGCGCGGTGGCTCATGCCTGCAATCCCAGCACGCTGGGAGGCCAAAGCGGGCAGATCACATGAGGTCAGGAGTTCGAGACCAGCCTGGCCAACATAGTGAAACTCATCTCTACTAAAAATGCAAAAATTAGCCAGGAGTGGTGGTGGGTACCTGTAATCCCAGCTACTTGGAAGGCTGAGGCATGAGAATCATTTGAACCCATGAGGCGGAGGTTGCAGTGAGACAAGATTGTGCCACTGCACTCCACTCCAGCCTGGGCAACAGAGAGAGACTGTCTCAAAAAAAAAAAAAAACTTTTATCCATTTTGATAGTTTAAGGACTTTCTAAAACATGAAGCATTTAAAACAAACATATAAAACACATAGACAAAACAGTCTTTTCAGGTGATGGTAAATTCAAAACGTTTACTTAGGGCAGGTCCACACAAGACCACCTGCTCATTTCAGGTCACTTCTGGTGACTCCCGTGATTGTGCTGATCTGTACTGGATGAGTCAGAGCCCAGCTTCCATCAGTGAGTAAATGTCACATGTCCCCCCGACAACCCCTGCTTTTTTTCCTTAACAATTTCCCAGGTAAACCTGAAATGCCTAAAGAGCTGTGTTATTTCATCACCCCCATAAAGCATTTCTAACCATTAGTCAGTAACTCTCACCCCTCCCCATTTCCAAAGGCAACACCCCATCTCACCTGCACTCTCCATTGCAAAATCAGAGTACTACTTGCCTCTAATTCAAATTCAGTCAGCAAAATTTCACTCAATTTAGATCAACAGTGCTGGTCACGGGGGCTCAAGCCTGTAATCCCAATACTTTATAAGGCCGAGGCAGGTGAATCACTTGAGCTCAGGAGTTCCAGAGACCAGCCTGGGCAACATGAAGAAACCCTGTCTCTACGAAAAATACACAAATTAGTCCAGCGTGGTGGAATGCACGTGTAGTCCCAGCTACTCAGGAGGCTGTGGTGGGAGGATTGCTTGAACCCAGGAGGTAGAGGCTGCAGTGAGCCGAGATCACGCCACTGCACTCAGCCTGGGCAACAGAGCAACAGCCTGTTTCGAAAACAAAACAAAACAAAATTTGGATCAATAAGCATTTTTGGCCAGATGTGGTAGCTCACACCTGTAATCCCAATCCTGTGGTAGGCTGAGGAGGATAGATCGCTTGAGTCCAGAAGGTCGAGACAAGGCTGGGCAACGCGGAGAGCCCTCGTCTCTACAAAAAAATATAAAAATTAGCCGGGCATGGTGGTGAGCACCTGTGGTCCCAGCTACTCGAGAGGCTAAGATGGGAGGATGAGGTGGGTGGATCACTTGAGCCTGGGAGGCGGAGGCTTCAGGGAGCCGTGATCACTCCCCTGCACTGCAGCCTAGGTGACTGAGCCAGACCCTGTCTCAAAAATAAAACAAAACAAAGTATATTTTGCCTGTGAATTCCATGAACCACTATGCTTCCTACCTAAGGGCCAACATCTACTGAGTGTTTCCTGCATACTAGGCATTGTATTAATTGTATTTTACATACATCATCTCATTTAACGCTCACAACAACCCTGAGGTACTAATAGGTGCTGATCTATTTCATCGTTGGGAAACTGAGGCTTGGGTATGAAATGTGCCCAGGGTTTACATGGCTAGTGAGTGGCTGCGGGGGAACTGGATCCCAGGCAATCCGACATAAGAGCTCCCATAACAACCGCTATTAATACAACTAAGAGAACAACTCAGCCCTTGGAGTAGTCTACAATGTGAGGTGGTATTACCACGGAGAGTCCACGTGCAGACCTTTCCCCGCAAACACGCACGCCAGTAAGCATTTACTCGTAAGCATGCTTGCACTTCAGAGCTTCTAGTCCCCCCAGAAAACGTTTTCTATGCATTCCTATGGATCTCCTTTTGTCTTCCCAGGGATGGAAGACTGGACACCGGCGCCAAATCTGAACAGACTCTCTCTCACTACACTAGTTCACGGAACAGGAAATCTGTCTCCGGCAACAGGTTCAGTCTGAAGACTGAGGCTACCTGCTGACCAACAAACTTTAAAGGCTGACTTCAAAAGGCAGCCAGGCCTAGCTAATGCAGCGGGGCCTTCCCCAGCCGCTCTTCCTGCGACAGGGGCGTTCCTGAAGGGAGGCTGAAGAGGAATGGGCCGACGACCGGTCTGCAGCTCCCTCCCGGCGGGCACAGGAAAGGTGGAGCCCGCAGCCCTGGGTCCCCGCTCCGCGGCGCGGTGGGCCGGGGTCTCGGCACCGCCCCGTCCCCCGCCCCGCCGCTGCGGCAAGGCTGAGTCACCGCCTCCATCCCGCTGCGGGGCCGCCCGGGCCAGAGGACGGGAAGGTCGCGTCCCCCGGGCTTAGACAGCCGTCGGGGTCGGAGCGAGGGCCGGGGCCGGGGCTGCGAGAAGAGCCTCGAGCCCTGCTCACTGTTCCGGGGCGGGGAGCCCGCGGTTCCGGCCAGTCAGCACCGGAGGCTTCGGGGAATCCACGGGTGGCGCCGGGCCCGGTCCCCCGAGGCCGAAGCGAGCCGGGCGCCAAGGAGCCGGGCTGGGCCACCCGCCGCCCCACACCGGCCCGGTCTCGCGACCTCTCCCGCTGGCTCCTCACTCCTGCCGCTCGCCGCCTCGCTTACTTGGCTTTGAGGCGCAGCAGCTCCTCAAACTGCCCGGCTGAGCCGACCTCCTCCAGCGCCGCTACAGCTGCCTCAGCCGCCCCCGCCGCCATGCTGCCGCCGCCAGACAGAAGCAATCGAGTGCCGGCGGCCGGATGTAGGCGGGGCCGCGGAGAGCTTAGCGGCTGCGCGAGGGAAAGCCCCGCCCCTGCCTGCGCTGACGCTGCAGAGCCTGAGAAATCCCAGAAAGGGCCTCGGCCGCGGGCGCTGAATCCCACTGGGTGGCTCTGGATCCCGCTGGGTGGCTCTGGATCCCGCTGAGGGGCTCTGACCCTGCCAGGTCTGGGCACTCCGCTGCGGGCCTCCTGGCTTCCGGAGTTCATGGCTGTCATGGTTCCTGGCTGTCGGGGCTCCCTGGCTGTAGTGGCTCCTGGCTGTAGGCGCTCCTGGCCCTCTAAGGGCTTCTGGCTATAGTGGCTTCTGGCCGTCGAGGCCCCTGGATGTCGGGGTTCCTGGCTGTAATGGCTCCTGGCTGTCAGGACCCCTGGATGTCGGGGTTCCTGGCTGTAGAGGCTCCTGGGTGTTAAGAGTTCCTGGCTTCCTGGCTCTAGTAGGGGCTCCTGGGTATCGGGGTTGCTTGCTGTTGCTTGGTGTTAGGGTTTCTGGCTATAGTAGGGGCTCCTGGGTGTCACGGTTCCTTGCTGTCAGGGCTCCTGGTGGTAGAGGCTTCTGGCTGTTGGGGTTCCTGGGTGTCAGGGCTCCTGGGTGTCGGGGTTCCTGGCTGTCGGGGCTCCTGGGTGTCAGGGTTCCTGGCTGTCGGGGTGACTGGGTGTCGGGGCTCCTGGGTGTCGGGGTGACTGGGTGTCAGGGTTCCTGGCTGTCGGGGCTCCTGGGTGTCGGGGTTCCTGGCTGTCGGGGTGACTGGGTGTCGGGGCTCCTGGCTGTCGGGGTTCCTGGGTGTCAGGGTTCCTGGCTGTCGGGGTGACTGGGTGTCAGGGTTCCTGGCTGTCGGGGCTCCTGGGTGTCAGGGTTCCTGGCTGTCGCGGGGCTCTGGGTGTCGGGGCTCCTGGTGTCGGGGTGACTACAGGTGTGTCAGGAGTTCTGGGTGTCGGGGTGACTGGAGTGTCAGGGGGTTCCTGGCTGTCGAATGCTGGGTGTCAGGGTTCCTGGCTGTCGGGGTGACTGGGTGTCAGGGTTCCTGGGTGTCGGGGTGACTGGGTGTCAGGGCTCCTGGCTGTCGAGGTGACTGGGTGTCAGGGTTCCTGGCTGTCGGGGCTCCTGGGTGTCGGGGTGACTGGCTGTCGGGGTGACTGGGTGTCAGGGTTCCTGGCTGTCGGGGTGACTGGCTGTCAGGGCTCCTGGGTGTCGGGGTGACTGGGTGTCAGGGTTCCTGGCTGTCGGGGTGACTGGGTGTCAGGGTTCCTGGCTGTCGGGGTGACTGGGTGTCGGGGCTCCTGGGTGTCGGGGTTCCTGGGTCTGTCCAGGGTTCTGGCTGTCGGGGATGACAGGTGTCGGGGCTCCTGGGTGGGCAGGCTCCTGGGCCAGGAGGGCTCCTGGCTGTCGGGGTGACTGGGTGTCAGGGCTCCTGGCTGTCGAGGTGACTGGGTGTCAGGGTTCCTGGCTGTCGGGGCTCCTGGGTGTCGGGGTGACTGGCTGTCGGGGTGACTGGGTGTCAGGGTTCCTGGCTGTCGGGAGGCGACTGGCTGTCAGGGCTCCTGGGTGTCGGGGTGACTGGGTGTCAGGGTTTCCTGGCTGCTTTCCGGGGTGACTGGGTGTCAGGATTTTGGCTGTCGGGGTGACTGGCTGTGTCGGGGTGACTGGTGTGGGGGTGACTGGCTGTCGGGGTGACTGGGTGTCAGGGTTCCTGGCTGTCGGGAAATGACTGGGTGTCCGGGGTGACTGGCTGTCGGGGTGACTGGGTGTCAGGGTTCCTGGCTGGCTGTCGGGCGACTGGCTGTCGGGCGACTAGTGTCGGGGGTGACTTGGTGTCAGGGTTCCTGCAGCTGTCAGGAGTGACTGTAGGTGTCGGGGTGACTGGCTGTCGGGGTGACTGGGTGTCCCGGGGTTCTGGCTGTCGGGTTCCTGGCTGTCAGGGTGACTGGGTGTCGGGAGTGACTGGTGTCGGGGTGACTGGCTGTCGGGGTGACTGGGTGTCAGGGTGACTGGCTGTCGGGGTGACTTGGTGTCAGGGTTCCTGGCTGTCAGGGTGACTGGGTGTCGGGGTGACTGGCTGTCGGGGTGACTGGGTGTCGAGTTCCTGGCTGTCGGGCGACTGGCTGTCGGGGCGACTGGAGTGTCGGGGTGACTGGGTGTCGGGTGACTAGTGTCGGGGTTCCTGGCTGTCGGGGTGACTGGGTGTCGGGGTGACTGGGTGTCAGGGTTCCTGGCTGTCAGGAGTGACTGGCTTCGGGGGTGACTGGGTGTCGGGGTGACTGGCTGTCGGGTGACTGGAGTGTCAGGGTTTCCTGAGCTGTCGGGGTGACTGGGTGTCGGGGTGACTGGCTGTCGGGGTAAGCTGGGTGTCAGGGTTCCTGGCTGTCGGGGCGACTGGCTGTTGGGGGCGACTGGAGTGTCGAGGTGACTTGGTGTCAGGGTTCCTGGCTGTCGAGTGACAGGTGTCGGTGACTGGCTGTCGGGGTGACTGGCTGTCAGGGTTCCTGGCTGTCGGGGTTCCTGGCTGTCAGGGTGACTGGGTGTCGGGGTGACTGGGTGTCGGGGTGACTGGCTGTCGGGGTGACTGGCTGTCAGGGTGACTGGCTGTCGGGGTGACTTGGTGTCAGGGTTCCTGGCTGTCAAGGGTGACTGGGTGTCGGGGTGACTGGCTGTAGGGGTGACTGGGTGTCGGGGTTCGCTGGCTGGCGAGGCGACTGGCTGTCGGGCGACTGGGTGTCGGGGTGACTTGGTGGCTCGGGAGTGACTGGCTGTCGGGGCTCTGGCTGTCGGGGTTTGTCGGGGTGACTTGGTGTCAGGGTTCCTGGCTGTCGGGGTGACTGGGTGTCGGGGTGACTGGCTGTCGGGGTGACTGGCTGTCAGGGTTCCTGGCTGTCGGGGTTCCTGGCTGTCAGGGTGACTGGGTGTCGGGGTGACTGGGTGTCGGGGTGACTGGCTGTCGGGGTGACTGGCTGTCAGGGTGACTGGCTGTCGGGGTGACTTGGTGTCAGGGTTCCTGGCTGTCAGGGTGACTGGGTGTCGGGGTGACTGGCTGTCGGGGTGACTGGGTGTCAGGGTTCCTGGCTGTCGGGGTGACTGGCTGTCGGGGCGACTGGGTGTCGGGGTGACTTGGTGTCGGGGTGACTGGCTGTCGGGGCTCCTGGCTGTCGGGGTTCCTGGCTGTTGGGGCACTTGACTCCTTGGGCTCCTGGCTTTTGGGGCTCCAGACCTTCCTTGCACTTCCTGCGTCTCCTGGGTCTGTAATAGTGAGAAGGGGGCGGTGGAGGAGTGGGGGTGAGACGTGAGTGAAAGTGAAATCAGATGTGTACATTTAGGAAGCTGAAATTATCAAAAATGAAATTGCATAAAGGTGAGGAAGAACTGGGAGGTTTGGGAACAGAAGTGGTAGATCTTGAACTTCAACACAGACAGGGTGCTTCCAATTCAGTCCTGAATTCAGACCTGAACCTGGAGCCCACAGCATGTCCCTCCTCCCCTGGCCTCCGCGCCTGCCACCACTCATTGCAGCCCCACCGAGCCATCACCCATTGTAACCTCAGAACAGAAGGTTCTGCTGGGTGAGTCCGCTCGGTTGGGGGCCTGGCTCCAAGGTCCCTGCATTCCTCCTGCCTGGCCGCCTCAGGTGGTCCCTGGCTTGTCTTTCTCCCTTGGGAATCTCCCTGATGTGGGCTCTCCATGTGGCGTACTCTGTATCCCCATGCTTCCCACACACTTTCTGGCCTGAGTAATCTCCACTCCCCCAGTGACATCAACCTCCAGGGAAACCTCAACAGCCAGCCCAGAACCCTCCCCTGCACCCCAGAGCCCAGCATCCATTAACTTTGAGGAAGGGCCATCTTTTATTGGATATCCCCAAACCACACTGGGCCTTCCCTCCAAAGTGCCTCTCCTCTTGGTTCCCATCGCAGGGAACACCATCGCTCCTACCCAGACACTGGGACTGCCTCTGACTGGTCCCCCTGCTGTCCCTGGGCTTTGAGGCCAAGCCCCCACAGAGCCTTCCCTACTAGCCAGGTGTTCCCAGGCCCCCGGTGCTTCCTTCTACCATGGCCTGTCTCATGTTCTGGAACTGTGTTTGTCCCCTCCATTGGCCTGTGTTCTCAAAGGGCAAGAGCTGGTCTGTGTCTCAGTGCCTGGATCAGAATCAGACACATAGGAGTCACTCAGTCTGTGCTAACAGCTGCCAGAGGACTGGGCTCACTGGATTGCAAAGACTTCGTATGAGAAAAGTAGCATATCATTCATACTTTTTATATTGATTACATGTTGAAATGAGGATATTTGGATATATTGGGTTTTCTGAAATATATTATTTAAATTGGCCTATTTTACCTTTGGCTCCTGAGAAATGTCTAATTTCATAGGCAACTTTCATCCGTGGCCCTTGAGTTTTCTTGGGCAGCACTACTGTGGTGATTAAAAGAGGCCTTTTGGAGCCTGTCACATGTATTCCTCACCTGGAGAAATACATGGTATTGAACACAGTAAACTATGTTATTTAAAATGCAATGGGAGAATGATGAGGAACCATTTTGTATCTTGCCTGTGGTGGTAGGAACACAAACTAAACATGATAAAATTGTTAGAACTTGGCTGGGCGCTCTGACTCACACGTGTAATCCCAACACTTTGGAAACCCCAGGCAGGAAGATCACTTCAGCCGACGAGTTGGAGACCAGCAGGGCAACTTAGGATGACTCAGTCTCTACAAAAAAAATGAGCCAGGCATGGTGGCTCACACTTGTGGTCCCAGCTAGGTGAGAAGCTGAGGTGAGAAGATCACTTGAGCCCGGGAGTTGGAGGCTGCAGTGAGCCATGATTCTGCCACTGCTACTGCCCACTAACCTGGGCGACAGAGCGAGACCCTGTCTCAAAAACAAAAACAAACTAAACACACACACACGCATGCGCACACGAGTACAAGTAAAACTGGGAAAATGAAAAAGATCAGTGGATTGTTTATAAATATCAACATTCTGGTTGTAATATTACAG